GCCGCCGCGGCCGCGACGTCGCCGACGGCCGCGACGGCGGCCGCGTGCGCGTCGAAGTCGCGCCGGCGCCGCGCGGGCAGGCCCGCGACGTCGACGAGGCCCGCGACGCGCGCCGCGGCGACGGCGATCGGCGCGGCGAGCGCGCCGCCCGCGTCCGCGGCCGCGAGCGCGAGCGCGAGGTCCGCGGCGCCCGCGCGCGGGTCCGCGGCGCCGTCGTCGAGGCACCGGAGCGCGACGTCCGCCGCGGCGACGACGCGGCCCGGCGGCGGATGCGCCGCGCCGACGAGCCGCGCGAGGCAGCCGCACGCCGCGTTGCGGACGGCCGGCGCCTCGCGCGCGTCCGCGGCGACGCGCGCGGCGAGGTCCACGGCGTCGAGCGGGTCGCCCGCGCCGGCCAAAACCGCGCGCCGGAAGCCCGGGAACCGGCAGCACGCGCCGACGCAGCCGTAGGCCGCCGCGCGGACGGCCGCGTCGCGGTCGCAGAGCAGCCGGCCGAGCGCGCGGTAGAGCGCCGCGTCGTCGCCCGGCGCGCCCCCGGCCTCGGCGAACGCCGCGAGCGCGCCGAGGGCCGCGGCGCGCTCGCGGCGGCCGAAGAACGCGTCCGGCGCGCCGCCGGGCGCGAGGCGCGCGGCGAGGGCCGCGCCGAGGCCGAGCTCCGCGGCGGTCGCCGCCGCGCCGGGCGCCGCCGCGAGGATTTCGGCGAGCGCGCCGAGCGCCGCGGCGCCGTCGCCGGGCCGGTCCCGCGCGGGTCCCGCGGCCACGAGGCGCTCGAGGACGTCGCGGCGGCCGAGCGCGCGCGCGGCGCGCGGCGCCTCGGCGCCGGCGAGGAGCGCGGACGCGAGGCCGCAGCCCGCGCCGAAGAGGCCGTCGGCGGCGGGCCCGCCGGCGAGCGCCGCGGGGAGCGCGACGCGCGCCGCGGCGTCGAGGAGCTCGCGCCAGCGGCCGTCGCCCGCGGGCAGCGCCGCGGCGATGTTCGCGAGCGCGCCGAGGCAGCGCCGGAGGCTCCGCCGCTCCTTGGCGCCGCGCGGCGGCGCCGCGAGGGGCCGCCGGAAGGCGTCGGCCCAGGCCTCGCGCGCGACGTCGTCGCCCGGGCGGCACGCGAGCCAGAGCGCGAGGCCGTCGACGGCGCCGTCGAACGCGCGCCGGCTCGACGCCGCCGCGACGGCGGCGACGCGCGCCGCGAGGCCCGGCCGCGGCGCCGCGCCCGCGGCCGCGGCGACGGCCGCCGCGGCCGCGGCCGCGGCCGCGGGCGGCGCCGCGGCGGGCGCCGCGTCGGGCGCCGCGACGACCCAGCGGAGCCGCGGCGAGCACGCGCGGCCGACGGGCGCGAGGCCCTCGGCGAGCCGCGCGTCGAGGGGCCTAGAGGCCGCGCCGCGGCGGCCCCGGGCGGGCGCGCCCGGGAACGCGAGCGCCGCCGCGGCCGCGAGGAGGCAGCTCGCGGCGCCCGCGTCGTCCCAGTCGCCGCCGTCGTCGTCGCGCGCGCCGTCGACGAGCAGCGCGGAGAGCACGCGGCGCAGCAACACGTCGTCGCCGCCGGCGCCGCGCCAGGCGAGCGCGCAGGCGACGCGCGCCGCGGCGGCGCCCCGCGCGCCGCCCGCGGCGAGGTCCCCGAGCGCCGCGGCGCGCGCCGCGACCACATCCGCGCACGGCGGGCCGCCCGCGTCGGCCAAAGCCGCGTCGCGGAGCTCGCGCGCGGCGACGGCGAGCGGCGCGGCGCCGCCGCCCGCGGCCGCGGCCGCGTAGGCGCGGCAGAGCGCGCCGACGGGCGGGCCCGGCGGGCCCGGCGGGCCGCCGCCGTCGCCGGCGGCGCCCCGGAGCTCGAGCTCGCGGGCGACGTGGGCTGCCGCGGCGTCGCCCCGCGCGGACGAGTAGGCCGCGCCGAGGTGCCGCTCGACGAGGAGCCGCGCGGCGTCGCGCCGCGCCGCGGCGTCCGCGGCGAAGAGGTGGCGCGCGGCGCCCCGGAGGCTCCGGGGCCGCCCCGCGACCTTCTCGAGGAAGGGCGCGTCGGCCTCGTCGAACGCGTCGAGCGGCGCGAGGTCGCGGAGGTCCGCGACGAGCGCGCGGCACGCGCCGCGCGTCCGCGCGTCGCCGTCGAAGCAGCCGCGGCGCAGGAGCCAGCGGCGGATTTCCGCGCCCGGGTCGCCGAGGAGCGCGGCCCGGCGCCGCGCGTCGCGCGCGCGGACGTCGGCCGCGAGCGCGACGGCCGGCGCGCCGTCCTCGAGGATGAACTGGCCCTCGCCGGCGAACGCCGCGTCGCATTTCACGAGCGCCGCGGGCGCGGTCATGCCGAGCAAAGCCTCGCAGGCCGCGCGGCGCGCGTCGCCGCGGTTGAGGAGCGCCGCGACCGCGGGCGCGAGGCCCGCCGCGCCCGCGAGGAACGCGTGCGCCGCGGCCGCGGCGACGGCCGCGGCCGCGTCGCGCGCGGCCGGCGGCCGCCGCGGCGCGCCCGCGAGCGCCGCGGCGACGCCGCGCGCGCGCGCGGCCGCGCGCGCGGCGTCGTCGACGTCGGCGTAGAGCGCCGTCGCGACGGCCGCGTCCGCGGCGCCGGCCGCGGGCGGCCCGCCGTCGGGCAGCGCGGCGACGACGGCCGCGGCCGCGGCCGCGGCCGCGGCCGCGTCGCCGGCGAAGTCGCCGCCGCCGAGGA